CCTTCAGAATACGGTTGTCCTTAACTATTTGGCTCTGTTACCCACACACACACAAGCACAAACAAACATATCAACACACATAACTATATGAAGATCCTAGAATACAATCAATTTCCCTCACACAGACAATCACACTTACTCTTACACGAACCTGAGCGAATGCACCTACATGCACATAAGAAAATAAATGTGAGTTTTCGTAGACACATCTTGAAATGGACAAATTGAACTATTTTTTATGCAAGAAAAAAGTGTGTTTCCGAGTAGCTCTTAATAGGTTGAGTTCGGCATACCTTTAACTTGACTTGAATTGTGAAAACAAAGAGTTACCTCTTTCCAAAATGGTCTTAACTGTAATCACCAATTGACACACAACTGATTTCAGCCAAATAGCCCATACCCTCAACCAGAAGCCTATCTATTTCTTAGTTGCTATGACAATTCGTTTGGTTGAAGCAAAGTTAACCGAAAAGGATTATTCAATCTTGATTACGCTCTATTCAAACTGTTCTTACCTCCCACCACACACATACAAAGTCACACGAAAGTGTGGTTCTACTCGGGCAAAGATGACAATGGATAAACCAACTGATTTTAAACATGAACAAAAACTGGGATTTTGGGTGGAGATACGGGTTTAAGGAAGTTATGTGCTGGAATACACGTCTTTAATGGACCGACACGTCTCGAATGAATTCGCTTCATGTTAATTTGTGCGCATGCATGCTTTGATGTGTATGACAGACGCAAATTTAGTACCAATTTATTGGACTCGTGGGACGGTGCAACTAGGAAATGTGCACACAAATCTACACTCACAACTGCCGGTTATCAGTTTTCATCTAAAGTCATTTAGTTTGTTCATTTTCACATCTACCCACATGCATGTTGGTACATGCGCTTATGTGCATTCGGTTGGGCAATTGAAAGTGTGTATATGAGAGGTAGAGGGCAAAGTTGTCCTGTTGTCCCATTTTATGCACCCGTAAGTGTGTTCATCACTGTGTTTTCCTGTGCATGTGTATGTGTGTACATATGTGCGCCTGTCTGTGGGCAGGTTGGAAGTAATTGTGATTGGATTATTGTGATCCAGATCGGCGTAAATGATAAACTATTGATTGCGTGAATTGACGTTTCGGCTGAAATCAGTTGTGTGCGATTGATGACTTTAGTTGGAACCGTCTGTGAAGGAAGTTAATCTTTTTTGTAACAATTTAAGTCAAATGAAAGGTAAACCAGTCTCGGTTTTATGAGGCAGTCTTCGAAACCCATTTTTCCAATCTTTCTAGGCTTACTTACATTTTTGTATGTATGCGTGCAAGATAAAGATGTGGATGGTATTTGTGTGATCACATATGTATGTGTGTGTATGTGTAGTGTTCATGTTCGTGTGTTTGTGTTTGTGTGCATTTTAATGTGCATCTTCATGTGTATTCTTGTCTGCTTGCGAGGTCAAATTGGCCGAGCTCAAAATATCTTTAAGCTTAAATGATCCTTTTGGGTTGGTTAGTTTTGATCCAGATCAACGCAGCCATACGGCAGTGGGGTGATGAGTTTTTGGGTTTTACGCTGAAGCTCATTTAAATGAGATGTCTGCCAAAAATGTAGTTCCATACACACTCGAATGGATGTCAGTTTCATGCTCGGCGGGACTTGAACCCACTTTTTGGTGGTGCAGTACGCCAGACTGTGTCACATCACATTCTGTTGGTGGGATTGTTGATGATGCAAAGTAGCCGTATTTGCTGTATCAACCGAATGCATTAATCACATTCATTTTCTCATAAATAGGCTTTTGAGACTACCAGTAGATCGTTTGTATGAAATGTATGGGCTGTATGGGGTGTGATATGGGCAAATGAGTGAGGCTTCTTGACATTCGCATCCGTCCCGTGACCCGATGGCACTCGGGTTCACATGTTGACGGCACACGCTGCCATCTGGTTCGAGTCCCGCTGATGATGAGCTCGAACCTGCAGTCCATTTGAGTCTGGATGAGAGCAGCTTTCGGGAGGCAAGGAATGCCATGTGAAATCGACAAAAAAAGGTCCACTCATAACGTAATGACGAAATTCACCTACCAAACCTTTAGCATCCTAACGAAATAGGGTGAATACATTTCATAAAGATGATCTGTTTCCAAGGTGGGACTTTGGGGAAAACAACCAAGGATACACGTTATTGTGTATTCAGATTGTGTCGATAAGGGATTCTTAAAGCCCACTTTTTTAATTATTGTTTTATATTTAATGGTTATATTGTTGTTTTGTTTTGCTTTATTAATTTGGTGTTATCATTTATTCTTCATTTATTTTATTTTATTTTATTTTATTTTATTTTATTTTATTTTATTTTATTTTATTTTATATAGGCTTACTTAGAGTTGTGTTCGTATGTGAGTGTGCGAGATAAGTAGATAGATAGATAGATGGCATATTGTTTAGTGATTATGTGCCGTTTTGTGTATGCGTTTATGTGTGTACCTCTAGCTGCATATTATATATACAAATGTGTGCATGTGTGTGTGTTTGCGTGAGAGAGAGAGAGAGAGAGTGAGCAAAATAGGCAAGTAGTTGTAGCAAATTAATGTGGATGACTTTAATTGAAACGAGTTGGCATTCGTGTGACCCTAATTTTTAACTATTCGGGCCAGACATCAAAACTTTTTGGTATTCTTGACGGCTGACTTTACGTGAATGACTTCCGTTTCCTGTACCTCTAACATGGTCACACGACCGGCTTCCCGATTCCTGTTGATGCCAGGCGATGAGGACCAGATGAGGCATCAACATCGAAGAGAGAGACAGAGATTCTGGATGTACCAGATCAAGCAGCAATTTTGCGGCAAAAGTGTCATCTCGCGGAGAGGCGCGGCCGAGAGCGGAAGCAAAATCGAGGCCGAGTGAGTCGGCCAATCGGCGCAGCCTCGTCGACTGGCTCCAGCTCCGAGTCCCGCCAGCCGGACCGGCTGAGTCGGTGATTGGTGCATTTGGCGTGTGGGGCTC